CAATTGATATCAACAATTAAATTCTTGATATCAAAAAATGGCATTGTTGATATCAAGAATTCATATCCTGGAAATGAATAAAAGCTAAACCGGCTTGCCATAGTGTTTAACAGATCGTGCTTTAACAGATTCCAGTGCTTTTGGAGTTGCAAGGAAGTGACATCATGTTTTGCAAATAGTGTGAAGCTGGCAATGCAAATCTAACCTTGTGTTTTGCTCCTTGAGTGTAAGGTTTTGCTAATTGTGGGAAAAGTTCGATCTTAGTGTGTAAGGTATCGTATAAAAGAAACTGTAATAGAAATGTGATGCATCTGTTTTTATAAGGCTACAGAAATTGGCCAAACGCAATAGCCTATTTGTAATAAACACCAAAACAACATTACACATACTAACCAAGTTTAAGAAGGGCCCAGGAGCGACAACGAAACGACTTTTGCATATTAATAATTTGCTGATTAGCCATGAATAATTATACTGTGAAAGCTGTTTAGCATATTGAACTAGAGTGACATGCGCTACGTGCTCGAGTCTCCTGGTACTGTTAAGCCGTTCAGAAGACGCAGCCTATCATCATTTGTTTTTATGAACCTCGCTGTACGGTCTCCATGGACAAAGCTAATTCAATGAACCATCAGGTCATTAGCACAGAGCAGAATAGCGGGCTTATCTCAGTAAAAACTCATTACGGAACGTACCACCGTCTTTGTGTGATATGCTGACATCGTTTCCATTTAAAAAGGCTAATTTGGCAGATAGAGATGTATGAAATGATTGCATTTTGCAGGTGGTTTGCAATTGTTTGCTGTCATTGCTAATGAAAACAGCTTCATATGCTCCACTTGCTAAAGTGTGTCCCCCGGTAAACGCCTCGTATATTACACCTCACTGATACTAGTGGAGGTTTTCCAAATGCAGATAAGCTTTTTGTGAAAGTGGGGATGTTGAAAAATAATTAACACCCTAATTAATCATGTATAGACAAGACACGCTAGCTGAACACCATGGTGTGTGACATGCTAGTGTGACAGCTTTGAATATGGGTGTTTTTAAAATTAGCACATTACAGAGAAACCATGTTTGAAGGGAGCTGTTTATTCATATTCAGGTGTGTGTGTGTGTGTGTGTGTGTGATTCTAGCACAGAGATCTCCTGAGACAATGCTGCTTTAGTTACAAGACTACATCTTGCACAGGAATTTTTTTTTAATAGAAGTTAAACGCAATTTTCCATTCCAGTGCTCTACTTTCCCACTATTTTTCAATGTAAATGCAAGACGGACATCTTTGATATATCGTTGTGGCCTTGTTTACAGCTGGTATTAAGATGTGTTTCGGTCGATCGGATCACAAGTAGACGAGACAAACACTTTCCCATTACACCTGGTGTTTTAATCCGTCTCTTCTGTCCACTTTCAAACACTTCTGTCCTGATTTCTTGGAGAGGAGGGTCTATATGCGGGTAAATGATCGTCTTTTCAGATCTATTAATCTAATGGACGACATAAGGTCGTGTAATTTGCATTTGAACGTGACCGGGACTCAGAAAAACACACTGAGAGCATCAGCTTTAGTTTCTGCTCTGACAGATTAGACCATCCGAACGCTGTGTGTGTGTGTGTGTGTGTGTGTTAGACATCAGGAATGATGAAAGAATATTGTGATTGGTACGTTTTTCATCTTCAACCCAAACTTGAGTCTTCAGTCGACAGTTTAAACCCCATCTATCGCTGTTCCCATAATGTTCCCGCATTACATCAATAGCTGGAGAGAAGACGGCCTCTAGTGTCTGTTTGAACACATTCGATCACATGAGCGTTTATTGTCATCCATAAGAGGAGAATAGTAGTTGAGCCGAATAGTTCAAGACGCTCGTGTGTCGTGACGTCTGAAAAACGTCTGACGCATGTCTCAAGTTCCCCCAGTGGTGGAAAATGAAGCTGACCAAAAATCAACGTTGATTCAATGTTTGTCTTTTTCAACACTGAAAATCATTGAAATATCAACATTGATCCAATATTATTTAGGATTGGATTTTCAACCTCAACCAAAATGATGATTCTGATGGAATTTCAACATTGAATCAATGTCACATAGCTATCTGGGAAGCAATCCGGTCAATGTGTTTTCAACTTACTCTGGAAGTGAAGGAAACTCAAGCTCAAAGCTTTTTAGACCCGTTTACTCCTGTATTTAACGTCCACTTGGACCAAAACGCATCTTAATACCATAGTCAGTATAAGAAGTGCACAGAGCCATCTCATTGGAACTCCATTGAGACAAGTGAAGCGTTTTTGGCGATTTTTTAGCACTTCCGTCCCTGACGCGCAGACTCAAACAGAGCTTGACGACATAGATTTGACGTGAGTGACTCGTCTGTCTTTATAGCAAAGAACGTATATTGACAAGAAGTGAAAGCCAATGGGCTATATGCACGCATAAGTTCCGCATTTGACATAAGGATGCTCGTCCATTTCCGGTTGTGTAGATTAAAGCGGAGGAAAACCGGAGAAAACGGGATTATGGCAGAGTCTTCAATATTTACTGTCCTCCCGTCTTTGAAACGAAACGTACATACGTTTAGATGTAATTTTATATATAGTTATGTTTATTTAATATAATTTTAAACACAACGAGGGGTGTCTGTTTTATCTGTTTTTGTGACTAACGTTTCATTAGTATAACCATGGAGTATAAAATTCAATATAAATTCTCGGTATTGCATTGGACTCTATATGATCGGCGGAAGTTATCGAGCATCCTTAATCCTTATCCTTCACCGGAAATAACGCCGTGCATAGAGCCCATAGAACGTTCCATTGCAACACCAGCGCCCAGCAGCAGCCCTACGCTTCCGCCATTTCGGGGTGAAAGCGACTCGGCAGTCATATAATATATATTTAGTCCAGTGCAGAGATCATTTTTTAGGTTGAAATAATTAGGCTAGGTGATTATAAAACTCACAACAGTTAAATTTATAGCAGTTAAAAAGAAGTTACTTAACCGGGCTTTTACCCCTAGAGAAGTTCAAGGATTTAATTCATTATATTACTCTCCACTTTAAGTGTGATAGGTAAAAATAAAGTGATATCAGTTCATAAAGTTGTAATAACATTAGACCGTTTCCCGGGAGGTACACATAACGTTAGGCTACTTACTAAAATAAGTAATCAATGAAATAAATTAATTCAGCAAATGTTGTACTAAAATGTAAATGTTTGACGATAAATATATAACAGCAAAAGAATAGCTTTACAGTAAACAGTTTTTTTTTTTTTTTTTTTTTTGCATTTGCCTACTAGCCTATCTTATATTAATGACCGTTAAAGCAAGACCTGTAAACAAACATAAAAACCCAGCCAATGACCAAAGTGGCAATTAGTTATAGGATAACGGACACAGCGCATCAATGATCATCATGTTTGTAGCATGATCCAGGGGATTAAAACGTCCAAAATATATTTCAGGGCTAGTGGAGTTGGTAACTAATAATAGTAGTAAAAATGTAAAGTTGCATACAATGGAAATACTCACTAATGCAAGAAAAAACTACCTCAAAAAACTATTATCTGTGCTGTTGTCCAGTAACTCCAGTTGGAATTTTCACCCCGATATGGCGGCAGCGCTACTGAAGCGCCATCTAGTGGCTGTTACCAAAAAAGCATCAGAGTTTCGCCTCTTGTTCTTCTATACTCTTTGCTTTTAGTGGCTGTGGCATGAGAAACAAGAACAAACGACAACTGTTATTTGACCAATATTTACAGAAAAGCAGAAGTATTTGAAAAGCCTTGGTGGCATTGTACTAGCACACACATTTGATATTAATTTAAACATACAGGATTTATATTCACATGCATGTATAACAGTATAATGTGTATAGTAGCCTATTTCACTAAAATGTGGAGATGAAAATCTAAACAGCAAGGTATAGTTTTAGATTTTGATTAAGTGTTTTATAATCCAATAAAACCATATAAATTATGAGTACATACTTGTTGTCACTTGTCAGTTTGTTTAATATTAATGACACACACACACACACACACACACACATGTTTCTATATAGTGTATGGGAACTTTTCATAGACATAATGATTTTTATACAGTATATTCTTTCCCCTAACCCTAAACCTACCCATCACAGAAAACTTTCTGCTTTTTTACATTTTCATAAAAAGTAATTTTGTATGATATATATATATATATATATATATATATATATATATATATATATATATATATATATATATATATATATAATGTGGGGGATAAAAAAGATTAAAACAAATTAAAATACTGGTTTTAATATTTTGTCCCGATAACAAAGGGAATACCAGGCACAAAAACACGCTCACGCACACGTGCGGATTTAATGTGAGTTAGAAATCAGCTATGTCAGGTTTGGCTGTAAACATGCTGATGGTGGTCGTGTGGGTGACAGGTGTGTGTGCATCATCATGAGACATACAGTAACATGAGAGTGAAAACCTGCATGTATTCGTCCTGAGAAAACGAGCACTGGCGCCCTCTGCTGGCCATGAGCGACGAAAGCACTGTTTATGATCTACTGACCTGTTATTCATATTTTTAAAAAGTAATAAATAAATTAAATTAGGCTTTCGATTTCAATTTGTGCAAGTGTATAAACATGAGAAAGGTAGTTTGCTCACATGAGTACAAAATAGTCAATAGGTTAATTATAGATTGATGTGTAATATGAGTAAGGCTATTTCTGTGAATGTGAGAGCCATACATTTCATTAGCTGGTAAAGTGCAGTAAATAGTCAAATTAAAATACACACAAACACACACATGTTTTATCACATTATTTTTTCTTTTAAAAACACCCTCACATCACAGCAGCGATAACTATTTTTTTGTAATATGATGCAAAGGTAATATAATGTGTTGTAAATGTACATACTGCAGTATTTACGATGCTGTTAAAACACGTGACCACAGTCTGTGAAAAGGGTCCACCGCTTTTCATTTGACAGTCACTCACTGCTGATGTCATTTGTTTTGCTCTGTACCGGAAGTGCTGCTGTAACATCACAGGGAAACTCAGCTGGGCGATCAGAAAATAAACAAACTGAACTGAAGCGTCCTCATCATAATCATAATCATCATCGAGTGTCACACGACAGCAACAGGCTTATTTAAAACATCCGATCATTTCCGGTAAGTGCACCGACAGCTGAAGTGTTGCAGATCTCACACAAACTCATTTGCTGTACTGTAAGTTTATATTTATAACGATCACACTCTTTTGTCAGCCGAATAAATCACATCCAACCTTTGATCACATCACTTGTGTTATCGTAATGTTGGGTTTAGTGCCACTTGCTGCGAATAGGAGTAAACAAGCCACTCTTTACAGCTACACATTTTGAAAATAAAGGGTATCAACCTGAAGCTTGACACTCTTTTTTTTAAGTACAAAGCCCCCTTTTGTAATGATGTATTCACAATATTGTGTATATTGTGTATGACCTGTTTCTTGTTTCTCTGTGGTATTGCAGCGAGACAGACAGGTGTTTGTTTCCTGTAATTAAGAGAATGTCTTCTTCCTATTTACATGGTGGTGTGATATAACATTACATTTACTTTCTATTAATAGTAATTAATAACACAGGATGAGGGTCCAGTTCTGTGTGTATTTACTCGTTTCTCTCCCTGTTCTTTCATTTAGCAGCAGTGTGGAACAACACACAAACATGTGAGCAGGTTCACTTTGTTTGCATTTTTGTGTCAAGATGGCTGATGATTTGGCCCGCTCCGCTCAACCCTGTGCAAAGCAGAAATACCGCAGTAATGCCCATTCACAGGGGCTGTTAGACGGGCTCCTGATGCTGCGACAAGGCGGCATTCTGTTCGACGTGGTGCTCTTGGTGGAAGGAAAACCTATCCAGGCCCACCGTATTCTCCTCGCGGCCTCCTGTGACTATTTCAGGTATGTGTGACACTCCCTTCAAAATCAGGGTTATGCTCTCCGAAGCTGCAAATGTGATGAATTCATGTGATCAGTGACTTTTCAGCATCATTACTCCAGTCTTCAGTCACATGATCCTTCAGAAATCACTCTAATATGATGATTTGCTGTTTAAGAAACTTTTATTTTTATTATCAATGTTGAAAACAGATGTGCTGAAAACCGTGAGATATTATTTTTTCAGCATTCTGTGATGAATAAAAAGGCCAAAAGAAGAAGCATTGTTTCAGTTTTATTGTCCAAACCCCTCACCGTTTTTAATAAGCCTATTCATTTAATATGCAGCTGTTTTGCAGTTCACCAGGAGTGTGACATACTTTTCTAGAAGAAAAAATACCAAGTCTTTCAATTTATATGAGATTATAAAACTACACGCCCAATAATTATGCAATAATCATATTGGACCACTCGCACATAAACTACTCAATAGATGCTGAATACACATTAAGTTACTAATCATGTCAGCGATCAACAGCCACTTTATGTGACATATTTATTTATTTATGTGGGTCCGCCATGTCCATGACATAAAAATATCCATGATAAAAGAGAAATTAAAAGAATTCTAGAACTCAGATATTATTATAAAAAAGAGTAGTTCACTTTAAAAAAATAATAATAATGCTGATAATTTACTCACTTTCTTTCTTCAGTCGAAAAGAAATTAAGATTTTTGATGAAAACATTCCAGGATTTTCTCCATATAATGGACTTCAATGGGGTCCAAACGGTTCAAAGGTCCAAAAGACAGTTTCAGTGCAGCTTCAAAGTGCTTTAAACAATTCCAGACGATGAATAAGGGTCTTATCTAGCGAAACGATCACTCATTTAATAAATAAATAACAAAGTTTAAGTTTTATAAGCACAAATGCTCGCCTTGCTTTGTTCTGTGTGACTCTCCTGTTCGAACTCGTTCATCAAAATGAACAAATCTTTTTTCGACTCATTTAGTTTATTTGTGCTTATAAAACTTTTTAATTTATTTATTAAATGAGCGATCGTTTCGCTTGATAAGACCCTTATTCATCGTCTGGTGTCATTTAAAGCCCTTTGAAGCTGCACTGAAACTCCCATTTGGACCTTGAACCGTTTGGTTCCCATTGAAGTCCATTATATGGAGAAAATGCTGGAATGTTTTCATCAAAAAACCTTAATTTCTTTTCGACTAAAGAAAAAAAGACGTGGACATCTTGGATGACATGAGGGTGAGTAAATTATCAGCAAACGTTTTTTTTTAAAGTGAACTACTCCTTTAAAGCATATGTATGAAATGCATTTTGAATAAATGAAGTTAATACTATTAATGGTTTATTACCTATGATTATTTTGTAAATTTAAAGATTATTGTAAAGCTAGCATGTTCTTGGGAAAAAAACTGAACTTAATCATCTTTATTGTTCGACCTGACTCTCGGTTGTGTATCTAACACACACATTCCTTCTTTCCTTTTCTTAAGTTATATTTTTGGGCTGTTTCGCCTTTATTTAGATAGGACAGTAGGAGGACAGACGGGAAGGAAATTGGACCGGGGAAAGACAATCGACCTCGGGTCACCCGAAGTTGCCCACACGGCTATGGCTCCGTATAGCATGCTTGATATTCAAAAGATTGAGCTACATGGTTATTGTTTCCCTGTACAGCGTTTCATTCCTCTCTGTGTTTTTTTTAGGGGGATGTTCGCTGGCGGTTTGCGGGAGATGCAGCAAACCGAGATCCCGGTTCATGGAGTCACACACACGGCGATGATGAAACTGCTGGACTTCATCTACACCTCAGAGCTGGAACTGGACCTGGACTCGGTTCAAGAAGTCCTGTGTGCCGCCACTCTTCTGCAGGTGCAAGATGTGATCGGCTTCTGCTGCGACTTCTTGTTCTCCTGGCTGGATGATGACAACATCCTGGAGGTGGAAAAGCTCGCCGACATATACGGGCTGAACCAGCTCGGGGAGAAAATCCGCTCGTATCTGCTCAAGAACATCCAGACTTTCTCGCGGACGCCCGTGTATCGAAAGCTTCCTGCGGAAAAGATCTTGAGTGTGCTTTCCAGCAACGAGCTGGAGGTGAGCTCGGAGAACGAGGTGTTTGAAGCAGCTCTGCACTACCATTACACCCCTGAACAGGTGGAGAAGGATGAGGTGTGCTTACAGGTGAGGAACAGATGGGTTAGTGATATCCAGTAACAATCAAGGCTTGACATTAACACACTGCGCGTGTATTTCAGCAGTGGCGTGTAACGCAGTCACTCCTACGTGCCACTTTGATGGGTTGAAGTCATTTAAATGTAATACTAGGGCTGTGTATTGACACAAATTTCACAATTCAATTCGATTTCGATTCACAAGCTTATAATTCGATTTCGATTCGATTCAATATTAATTATTTTGGATATCAGTTACAATATGGCAAATTTTCTCAAGGAAATCAAATCTCTTAACTAATGCTGTAAACTATGGGAGTCTATAGTTGTAGCCTACTAGGCTTCATTAGCCTAATATGAAGGTAGTACTGTTTTGTAGCTATACAAACACTTAAATTACACTTTTATTTATTTTTATAATAAGAAGATATGAAATATAAGCTGTCATAAAAACTTGCCAGAATTATTAAAATATGCATTAAATATTGAAGAACGATTATAATGCAAATGTAATATGGTGTATATATTTAGCGAAATGCCCCTCAAGAGTTATTTTTTCTAGCTGACTAACGAGTTTATGTAGGTTTTCTGAGGTAAATATGACGACATGACATTACAAGCTGTTTAACTGAAACGCTGATTAAGCGAATCAATGTGGCATGATACGGATTTGGATAAGTTGTACTCTATCTTTTAACACACTTTCAGATGCTCATTCATGTTTATTTCGCGCTGTGACTGGTATTATTAAGCCGGAAGAGAGATCAGCGCTGCTGCTTCTCTTGAGCTGAGCCAGAGCGATCTCACGCCACAGCGCCAAAACCTTATTTATGTTTTTGAATTTCTAAAGTAAATGGACGTAATTTGAAAATTGAGACTTTGTTTCATATCAATAGTAACAAAGGACAAAGATTATTGTGAGTTTTTGGATGCGCGCAGCCGCGATACAATGTCCCATTCATTCAAATGAAACAGGATGACTAATCGATTCTTGAGATTTAAGAATCGATATCGGTTCGTAAAAATGAGAATCGATTAATATCGAGAAATCAATATTTATTACCCAGCCCTAATATATACGTTTTTCAATATACACGTTGTCAAAAATATCAATTTTTCTATTCATATCGATATTGAAATATCTGAAACGCTGCCAATACTCATTTTCTGCAGAATAGATACACAATACAGTGGCGCCTCCAGAAATTTTTCATAGGGGTGGCCAGATGGGGCCAGTTAAAATCTTGGGGTGGCACACCAAAACTACAGTATAAACCATAATTTCAGAATTGTATTTTACTGTTGTAGTAAACCAGCCTGTAGAAAACTATCAGAAAGACTTAAGGAAACTCCTACTGATATACTTTGGTTTACTGTGTAATATTTAATGTTACTAATGATATTAGTAGGGCCCAACTAATATGTATTATATTGTATATAATGATATATATTATATGATATATATAAGGGCCCTTGCCCCACAGCAAATTTCCAGATACTTACATAATTGTGATGAATTTAATCATTTTTAAGTTATTATTTTGCAGTGTAAGATTACAGTTAACACCTTTAAATATTACATAAATGTATTATGAATTTTTAATAAACTTAATGAGTGTATACATCAGCAGCAAAAAGTAATTCTTGAAAAAATCTGCACAGTAATTTTATAAAATCTAAATATGTTAATAAAAACAAATTACTATTAGTTCTCTTTTAAAATTCAATCAGGCATTCATGTCACAATTTTATATTTATATATTAATGTCAAGAATTCAGAAGTGCATATATAGCCTAAACTACAAATAAATAATATACAATTAAATTATGCTTATTTAAAATGTATTGAGCAGGCTAGGTATAACAAAATATATTGGCTTTTAATAATATTTCAGTGCGCAAACCCATGATAACATGAAAAAACAGAGAGCACACAGCGTGTATGCGCATCGCGGGTGCAGAATGATGTGCTCAAAGCAACATGGAGTCACAGTGTGCAGCAGCACTGCGCTTCATAAGTGTGCATTTAAAAGCTCATGTCACAAATCGAAGAAATGTTGAGCGCACAAATCCTAGTGCGATTTGTTCCTTTGTTTCACAGTTATTTTGTGTTTGATGCCGATTCATAATCCTTGTGATATGTAGGCTATGTGTGATCTAACAGTAACAAGCACACGGTAGTAAGTCGTTTTAAAAACAGCAACAAACTCCAAGAAAATAAAGTAATTTTATGCGAATACACAGCCTTTTATCTACAGATCATGCATTTATAATGTGAATATATCATATTGGAGAGAGTTTTACCGTGCATCCAAGAGGCGCGCGTGCTGTTTGAATATGAATGGAGAATGATTGACAGCCGCAGAGGAGGGAAAACGAGTTTCCGTATACTTTAATGATGTAAATATACTTCTGTCCCTCACATTAAGCTATGGAATGACTTCAGATGACTTTGTCACCCAAACTGACGTGAAAAAAGCGGGAGGCGCCGAAAAGCGCGCTGTTTGCATCCCTGCCTGTCCAAACGTGGCAAAAACACACCTAAAAGCTGCTGTAACAGTGTACCATTTGGCACTTAAAAAGCACGTCATGACACATAATTCCCCGTCTTCTTTTACTTAAGAATATTTTTGACTTATTTATAAAATGCATAACTGATGCTACAAAAATTAATACTGGCCATTGGGGTGGCCAATGGGGTGGCCAGGAGTCGGCCAGGGGTGGCCATGGCCACCCCTGGCCACCCCCTGGTGGCGCCATTGACACAATACCAGCTGCTTTCTCTCACTCTCATCTCTCCGACAGCGAGTGACACACAAACCCACTCCTTTCATTAGCTACGGATGAATATTGTTGGAATATTGTTACAGGGCTTGAATTTTGCTGTGGTATTGCAAGTATTGTGTATAATTTCACTTCTCAGAACTAAACCGAGTTATTTTTCGCTGCTTATTTGGCTTAAAGATTCAGATACACACAAAATAATGTCAAAATGTCGGTTTTGGGCGTATTCACGTAAACACAGTCAGTTATGTTTAGCAGTCGAGAAAGAAAACACATGTCTAACAGTATAATGGATCCGTGCGTCAGGTCTTAAAGTGACAGCAGTTTAATATTCCTGCTGCCAAATTATGATATAATATTAAAAATATCTATATGGCAGTTTTCCCCATGGTATCGATGTCAAAATTGTGGCCAGTGAAAATGCTGAGTGGCTTGTAACTTTGGTAAACCACTAGCCACAGCAACTGCTGAGCAAAAGAGTTCATGTCAAACCCTGGTAACAAAGTATTTCTAAGTATTTTTATTTTGGGAATTTGTACTTCACTACATTCCAAAGCATAATATCATACTTTTTACTCCACTACATTCCATAAAAACATATAATTTCTCGTTATTTCTAAGTGAAGAAATCGCCACCCCCTCTGAGACGCAAGAGCGATGTCCGATTCGTGGACGAGTTGATTCATTCCAATGAATCTGCTGAATTGGTTCACAAATAACACTGAACGATTCATTCACGAATCTGACTGATCCACAGCTGTTTTTGAGTCAACACTGATTCAATTATCCAGTCAAAATGAGTCAAGGTATATCGTCCTCTGAACTTGAAAGTGCTTGTGACTGATCGTGCAAGAATTTACTAATGAATTTTAGCACTGATTATTTTAAATGATATTCTTAGGTCAGTTATTTGTGAAGTAAATCTGCTGTAAAAGAGCAAGCTGTTTAAGAGATTGGCATGGGGGACTTTCCATAAGATCATCTTTCAATGCAAATCAAACCAGCTATTAGGCTAACTGAAGTAAAACCATGCCAATCTCTAGGTGTGGTGGAAGGTGTGTGATGATGTGGGGATATTTTAATCCCAAAGGTCAAGGGAACTTTATCAGGATGCATATTATCCTGGATCCATGAAATAACTGGCTTTTAAATATAAAAATCTGCCTGACTCTATGGGAATTTAACATAGGGGGGCCGTGACTTATGCACCCTGTATTTTAAGGAAAAACATTTATTTATTTATGATACATTATTCATTCACAAAGAAAATTTGTGTCCTTAAAGGTTGGAGTTTTCCTAATTTTTCTAATTAAGGCATTAAGATCAATATTCAAAAGATGATTTTTTATTCCTCTTTTTAGGCAACTTTAGCATGGGGGTCAAAACTTATTCACACCACTGTAGAGACGATCGCAGTGATCAGAGAAGGGCTCATTCAGCTTATCAGGCGATTGTTTAAGCATGTATGGGTTAGAAAAAACGTCTATTTTTAACATGAAATGTTGCGCAATGCACCTTTAAGTACATTAAAAAACAAATGCTGAAAATGAGAACTTTGTCTTGTACTTTTACCGGAGTAAGATTTTAATATTGTCCACCACTGGCGTTATCTAAATCAAATGAACTCTTCCTTTAGGATCCACTGCGGATGTTGGAAGCGGTGCGGTTCTGTCTGATGGAGAAGCATGTGTTGCAGCGCTTGCACAGCCGGTTAAAACAGTGTCCGCTACGAGACTCTGTGGCCGCCGCTCTACGTTACCACAGTCAGGAGATGTGGCAGCCGGTCATGCAGACGCCACTCACTCAGCCTCGCTGCAGCTCCCAGTGCATTCTGGGATTCGGTGGCATGTATTCGTCTAGCGCACTGGTGGACAATGAAGAGCGGTTCCAGGTGTTCCACCCCTCCTGGGGCGAGTGGCGGAGTCTGGGTGCAGAACGCGCTCCTCGCATGTCCAACATGGGCATCGCCGTGCTCAATAACTTTGTGTACTTGGTTGGCGGAGACAAGAACACCAGCGGCTTCCGGGCTGAATCTCGATGCTGGCGGTAAGTGGCGCTGCATTAAGGGCCGTCGTACACACCGGGACGAATATCGGCGCATGTTATTCGCCAGTGTTTTTCAACGCGTTTTTTGTGTTCACACCCAAGCGATTGAGCCGAGTGAACATGCAAATTCATTCCCTGACATTAGATGGCGCCCATTTGCTCTGCAATACCACTGCGTAACAGTTCTCTTTTATCGAGATTATTGTAGTTGCTGTCGCGTTTGACATATAGTTCTTTATGTTATGACACCAACGAGACCGGCAGCTCGACCTCGTCTTATTGCTTCCCGGCAGTGTAGACGCTACTTTGCGTATATCTTCTTCGCGTTACGTATGTGTGCTCGGCGTTAAGACCGTTTTGTGTTTGAGCGCCCCCAAGTTGTGTTTTACTGTAACTTCAGAAGCTCCAGACACGTGAGCAAAAGCGCCAATCTCATTGGTCGGATAGTTTTTGGCGCGGCGTGTCCAACTAAAAAAACAACCCGAGGCGTTTTTTTTTTTTAAATTACGCTTTAATGCGTGGTGTTTTCCACGTCAGTGTGCGCACTCACATTGGCGTCCTTTGTTCAGTCACGAGGCGTTAAACGTCGGCAAATATCGCGCGTGAAATTCGTCCCGGTGTGAACAGGCCTTAACGGTCAAATTATTATTATTATTTTTTTTTATATATGGTGAAATGAACCAAAGCTTTTTGCTCAGAACACAGTCTTGTACCCTTGACTTTTTTTGGATTTTCTCTTAGTTTTTTAACTCGAAATGATATACTTATGAGTTCAGCTGTAGCTGGTTATCCTCAGACATGCTCTAATACTCTTTAGATATGGATTTTACAAAATGTCAATGAAAATTTACTTCCCGCACCAACACTCTCTCGGGCTGTGGGCGGGACTGTGATGCTCTAAAGGGTCTATTCTAAGCCTTCACTTTGAAATTACATAATTTTTCATATTAATTTTACGTAATTTTTCAATTAATTGCGTAATTTTTCATATTTGACCGTTCACACACACACACGCACATTATATATGTGTAAATCTTTTTTTTTATTTACCATGCTGTTAATTTCCTGTATAAGGTATTTGATTGGCTTAGAATGATAATAATTGTTCCACTCTTTCCAATTACACTGATAGCTGGTGATAAGTGGTGATTGAATGTACCGATACTGGACAGTTGTTTACTGTTATCCTAGTTAGTGGATGAACACAAGGCCATGCTTAAAGGAACATTCGGACCGGTGTCGATCTATCGTATTATTAACTCACTGTCATCCATTGTCTGCAATACATTTCTTCTCCCTCTCCGTCTCTCTGCCATTTTCTCCTCTGCTAAAGAAACTCTTAAGCCTCTTAAAAGTTTTTTTTCTTTACTAGTAGGATTTTTTCTTTAATTTTAAGAGTAAACGCCCACATTTCTATGAATTTTCTTAGAAATTTGTCACTAGGAGCTCCTCTTTGCATTAAGATTCTTTATGAATACAGGCCCAGGTGTTTGACTTGCAGGAGATTCACTTTGAGCTTTAGCTACTCTGTTTGGGATTATTGGATTTGTATTATATCCAAATCAGAGGCCAGTATAATCCAATAAGTGTGGATTGGATTATTGGATTTATATCCAAATCTGAGATCATTGTGATTGGAAGACCGCTCATAGTTTGAAATCAGCTCCAAGATTCTCAAATGAAGTCGAATTATCGAAGAATAAATCTAGAATAAGAAGAATAAGTTACATCTATTGAATTAGAATCGTATCTGCGCGCACATGATGGGCCAAAGGTTAGAAACATTCTAGTTTGCATATGATAAATGAAACTATATAGGCACTTTATCAAAGCAACTTACAAATGCACAAGCAATTTCTCATACCAGAGACAAAAAATGACCACAATATTGCAGTGCCCGGTTCCAAAAGGTTAGTGCAGAAGTAATTGAAGGAAGTAAAAATAGAGAAGCCTTTGATTGTGGTTTTAGTAAATTGCTGACAGAACTGGTTTAGTATTTATTGTATCATCTTACCACAAAATATTTCCTCATTACTGTCATGCATTTGCTTTCTCAAGGTTCTTTCTGTGTATTTACATCTCATCAGAGTGTTATGCAGAGCTCTTGCTCTCTCTATTAAAACTGTGCTTGTTAATTGAAATCAAGCTGAAATAAAATATAAATATTAGATGAAAAACCTAAAAAATAATGAACAAAAATCATTACACCCAACACTGATTACATGTGTAATCATATTACTTTTTTTAAAGTAACACCATTACTTTTAAACTTACAACAAAATATCTGAGTTACTTTTTCAAATAAGTAACCCAAGTTACTTTGTTTTCCCATTTTTTGACTGACCGCTCCCCTGTGTCCATGTCCAAAGGAAGTCCAAAGGGATACTTCTAATAATAATCACGGAGAATTTTTTATTTAATCTCACTTTATTAACCATGTCTTTGCTGCTGACCTACAGTAATTCAGTTCAAACATACGAATAAGCAAAAATGACTTTTGTTAAACATCACGTTTGTGTTTCATTTTCGTTTTTATTGCTGAAGTAATGTTGCGTTCATGTGCTATGGTAATTATGGTAAATACCAAAAGCCGAGGTGGAAAATGCACATGAACACCCCCTCATGTGGTATTTATTTACCACTGGGCAACTCGTAGAATATTTTGATGGACGAGTTGCCGAGATGAGATAAACTTTGAGCTTTTCAAAATGGCGGAGAGCACCGCGAGAGTCGTGAATGGTAAAAATATATATGATCTAGAAAATATACAGCATATTATTTACCATTTGAGTTTTGATAAATCATTTTCTTGCTGTTGCAGATGACTTAAAGTCCCTATGAAATCAAAATTGACCGTACTTACTTTGTTTGCCTAAATTGATCGTTTTGTGGTGAACAATTCATAAATGCAAGTCAATCCACACAAAAAATTTTTTGGGCTTCGTAATCTCTAATCAAATTTTGAAAATGCCCCTCCCCTCTGCATTGGAGGACTTTGCCCAATGACGTAAGCTTTACGGTTTGGGTGTCTCCTTAACATCCATAACCACACCCCTCCAACTGACAGCTGCTGTGTGTTTGCGAGCGCCGAGCGAGCATTGATTGACAGCGTGTGTAAACTTGCGTCATCCTCCATTTCAGAATGAAACACCCATTTTTCTAGATCCAATCAGGTGCTAGTTGGAAAAAAAGCCACGCCCACTATTTTGCCTCATTTAGTATTCCGTTTCTCTCGGAAATACGTCACAACACTGGAGAAAAGTCGTTTGCAACTTCCGGTTCACGGGGACTTTAAGCAATCTAAAGTAATTAAATAACAGGTCTGGATCTCCATCGTTTTACCACATCACGACAACTAAAGCACTTGAACGCTAAATCCCAGTTCACAAGTGGAAAATATTCTATTTTCCATAGCACGTGAACACACCATTCAGTGTTGAACTTTCTTCTTCAATCCAGAATGGCAGCAGAGCTGAAAGGTTTGTTTGAGCGGCGCCCTCTACTGTACAGGCGTGAACTCACATTTCCTTATTCATTCCACCTTTGGTGTAAAAGGGCCTTTACATTTGCCAAAAGTTTATATTATTATATAAGTAATATTTATTAGCTAACCAAAATGTAAAACTTCTACGTAGAAAAAAAACGCTCATAGCGATCGTATAGCGCCACTGACTTTTGTTTTTGTTTTGTTTGTGTTGGGTTGTCATCACGTAATAACACACCGCTCTGGCCCGATCGACCAATCAAAATCAAGTATCCACAGAGCCGCCCGTGTAATAACAGTATTTCATTAATTCCTTTGTCTTCTCATCAAGGTACGATCCCCGCCACAACAGCTGGTGTACTATCGAGCCTTTACGGCAACCGCATGCAGATCATTGCGTCTGTGTGGTTGATAAGTACATCTACACCATCGGAGGACGAGACTACACCACTGAGCTGGACTGTGTGGAGCGCTACAACCCACAAACCAACACCTGGGAATATGTGGCGCCGCTCAAACGAGAGGTGAGCGGTTTGGGATTAACCGATTTAAAGACTTTTAAATCGACAATTACATCCATTGTGGCTGATTGTGAACTATGCCAGTTGTAGATATGCTAACATTATAAATATTACTATTACAGTCTCTCATATAATTGAACACTGCATCAGTTCAGGCAGGTCACGTGATCAAGTCTGGCATTCATAGCATTTACAAATGCAAATCAGATACTTCAAATTTCACTTTCCTATTAATATAACATTGTGCACGATTGTTCCTGGAGCGTGAGCTGTTGTGTGCTTAAACACTGTACACGACCAGTCAAACTTTGGAATAATTAAGAATTGTTTTATATTTTTGAAAGAAGTCTGCATTAAAGGTATAGCGGAGGATTTTCTTTTTCCGGGTGGGTAGTCTACTATTGGTCCACCTAAGTGTCAATCATACTGGTGATATGTTTACGTAAGGCCGTCGTACGTGCTCATCCCTGGCACGAGTCATGCACCGCATAGACATGGTAAACATCTCAATTTGTCTAAAGTAGCCTTTTGACCAAATGATAAATGGTATCACCCTGAAATATTCTAAAACCTTGTGTGTTCATGTGTTCATATTCTAAAACCTTGTGTGTTTATTATTACACAAATGCAACAAGCTACTTCTCCATTACATATGCAACTATGTATAAAAATAACGTATTATTAACAATGAGACTTATTAGGTTAAGGACCAACGTAATAGCACTGCTTATATGTTGCCATGTAACGTAATTGCGATTTGCAAAATAGTTTCCTCAGAACGTATTTCGTGTGATACAGGGTTGCACATATCATGTCTTGAGTCCTCGGTCACTCAATCGATCAGTATAATAAGTAAATAAAACACGGAAGGGCATTTGACATGTTGTCTTTTTTATGAATGTTTTTGAGTTAGTTTATAATTTGCAACATAATTGTGCAAGGCGTAATAGACGTTCCCTCTCGGGAGCAAGAGTGTTGTGTTTGTCCATGCGCATTTTTTTTTTTAAATTGGAGAGGGCGGGTCTTCTCTAAAATTCGGAAATATCCTCCGCTATACCTTTAATTTGATCAAAAATACAGTAAAAACTGTAATATTATAAATAGACTGTAATACTCCATTACATTACACTGCCTTTATTATGATATTTTAAAGGTTTGTTTTGGAGTCTCCTAGAATATGTTTACATGCATTCAAGGTCAAAAAACACTTTAATCTTCTCATAATATACGTTGCAGCATCAGCTCTTTCCTCACAGTGTCTGAAACAGTCCAATAAAGGATTCAGTCTCTCTAAGCCCCTCCTTTCCGAGATTTGCTCCGCTCTGATTGGTCAGATGCTCCAGTATGTTGTGATTGGTCGAACGCTTACAGTGTCCATTGCCTATTTCAGCTCTGGGTCTTCCTCAACACTTGATACACAGTGATACGTACCGTCACGATGGAGTCGGTTTTACCGTTTCAAAATCAATTGAAATGTACTTGGCATTATGGAAATTTGTCACAAACCTACGGAAGTTCGTGCAGAAAGTAAGACTGGACTTAATCACGACTCATTTCAGTTCAGAATTGCTTCTTTCTTTTGGGAGATGATAACCCCATTTATCCTGCACTTTGGTCTTTAAAACTTTGCTGACCTTTTACATTCACAAACAGCTATAATACACACTCCATGAAAGGTCAAATACGAAAAACGCATAATAGGGACACTTAAAGGAACACTCTGACTTTTTAGGACTTTGGCTTATTCAGCATATCCACCAGAGTTAGATAAGTCCATACATACCTTTTTCATCTCCATGCGTGCTGTAACTCTGTCTGACGCACCCACCGCTAGCCTAGCTTAGCACAAAGACTGGATGTAAATGGCTACAGCTAGCATACTAATCCCAAAATAGTAACAAAATAGCGCAAACATTTTCCTATTCACATAATGTGATGTGATGTTCCTTTAAAGGATCATGTGATACTTCAGCCTGCTTAAATTTCAACTTAGTCATCACAGGAATTATTTACTTTTGAAAATATAGTTGTAATAATATTTCACAATATTATTGTTTGAGCCTTGATGATCATATGAGACTTCATTACGAAAAAAAACCCCAACATAATTATTCCAAAAAGATTAGCCGGGAGTGTAAGCTGCTAAGCGTAGTGCACAACAAACTGCAACTACGGCAAGAATGTGACATGAGTTTATGAACTTTCAGCTTCATGTGGATGACGTGTGTTCACACTGTCTGCAGGTTTACGCCCACACCGGGGCAGTGATTGATGGGAAGATCTACATAGCATGTGGTCGGCGGGGAATGGCTTATCTAAAGGAGACGTACTGTTACGATCCCAGCGGGAATCACTGGAGTGTGTGTGCCGAGGGCCCGGTGGAGCGTGCGTGGCACGGCATGGCGGCTCTCAAGGGCCGCGCGTACGTCATCGGAGGCAGCAACGACGGGTGCGGTTACAGACGAGACGTCCTCAAGGTACTTCTGAAACACCTGCTTCTGCACAGTTTACATGTTCGTGGTTCGACTTGTCATGACTGTTTTCCAAAGATGGCTCCTGTCTGTACACACGAAGTGAACTGTCTTCATAAAGTATCTTCTTATTAAACGGTCTGTACACTTACAAAGTTCTCAATGCTTCGTTTTGCATGTATGGACCCTCATTATGTTTCTGTGTTAGTGTGGGGCTATTTTGAGCCTTGTTAGTGGTAAAAACTAGCGATTTCTTTTTACTTATTTTATTACCCCATATACAAGCGTTATGCACTAAACAGTTTTTAGAGATAAAACTCTTTACATTCGATTATCATGAAAACAAATCTCAGAGAACGATTGACTATGTACTGATGTTTTATTAGACCAAAGGTTCATTTTGCGCCGGAGTTCTCCTTTAAGTCATTATTTATGACTGAGCTTGGTTAATCAGGCCATAAAGAGTATATTAACTAAAACCCTTTTCATTATCCAAATTTGTCATTAAAAATGTATAAAAAAAAAAACATGGACACTGGTTCATGGGATCATCGCTAACTAGCAGTGAATCATTGAAATTGTGACTTTTGCAGTTTGATACGCGCTCCGAAACATTTGTTTTGAACAAGCAAAGGTTTTTTCTCATAAAAACATGAGACGTGCAATGGTGTTCACTGCATTCGCTGCATCGTGATGAATGGAAAAGGCAGGGTGTCGAGAGCGACATGTTTAAAAAGCTGTGAGACACGGCGCAATAGTCAGAGACGATCATTTAGATCATTTTTTTAATATTTAAATACATTATTTAAAATTATTTTTACCTCGCACACACTGAAGCACGCTTGGTGCTCGCAGTGTTTTTCAGCCTCTCCAGTCTCACTATATAAGAACATGAATGCATTTCCAAGTTCTTCAGCATTTTACAGTTTCATTTAAGAAAAACTATCTTTATATCATTAACACATGAAACACAAAGGTCTTCACCACAACCCGTCAAAATAAAAGTTCGGTTTAACTTAAAAATATATTACTCAGTAGAATTTAGAGATCTCAATTTAATAAGAATACTAACACTAATAACAATAAATTGTCAAAAAATATTTTTAAGGAATAATGACACTTTTTTCTTCCATGTTGTCATTTTAATTAATGTTTGATTTCTTTATTTAATTACTAGAAAATTCACAACAAAACATTTAATGGAATTTTTCTGTTTTTATTATTACTAAAATGGTTGTTTTTATTAATATTCAAGCATCACAGACGATGGCAGTCTGCGATCAAGGCTACTCTGGCATAATGTCGATAACACTTCTATAAATACATGATTAACTTAGCTCTCACTAGACACGCTACCTTGGCTGTTAACTGATTTTACTGTTCAAATAGTGGCAGGCTAGGACTAAAGTGGACTTGGCTGGTTTCTGCTTGTGTCTAGAAAGTGCTGGTACTTTGAAAGTTGTATGGTAACATAATTAAAGCCAGTAACTAGCAAATACACTACTTTATGTTAAATACAGATAGTTTAGGGGTTGAATTAATTAAATAATCGGCTTACCTGTTATGAAATGCTTCCCACATACATGTGTGAGGGGTCTTTGGGTCCCACAATCCTCAATCTGGTGCTTCCCTCTTTATCGCCTGAAGTCATAACATTCTTCTTTCCGCTTGTTTTATTCAGCATGGTAAAGGTATAAATTATAAACCAGGTGTTTTAAAAACATTTGAGGTCCAGCTCACCACGCAACAACTTTTGGGCATGTTATTTTTGTTCTTCTGTTACCGGAGTAGACAAAATTCAGACCGTGTCAAAATAGAGAATCCAGATCGAGACCGTTTGTTTTCCCCCAAAAAGGGGCGTTAACCTTCGATGACGCAAAAGTAGCGTTGCCTTATAAGAATTTTGATTGGCCCAAAGCAGACTTTTTACGTGCTCATACCGAGCACATTACCGGTAATTTACTGGTAATGTTACAACTTCCCTTACTGGTAATTTGCCAGAACCAATTTTCCGGTATTTTTGAGAAGGCCATGTTCACACATGATCTGTTACCAGTAAACACTGTGTGTGTGTGTGTGTGTGTGTAAGGGGCTCCTGACAGGTCTTGTCTGTGTGTGTGTGTGTGTGTGCGCAGGTGGCGTGCTACAACCCAACAGCAGATGTGTGGTCTGTGGTGAGCCCGCTGCCGGCTGGTCACGGAGAGCCAGGGATGGCCGTCCTCGATGGGAGCATCTACATCATGGGCGGAAGGTCACATGACAAAGGCAGTCGGATGAAGTACGTTCACGTTTATAACGCAGAGGAGGACCGATGGGAGAGCGGGACAGCCCTCGAGGACCGCGTATCTGGGATTTCAGCGTGTGTCTTGCTTTTGCCACATGCAGCCATGGCCCAGGCGCGCAGCTGGGAGCAAAGGGCTAAAGCATCATGGGAAGAGGTAGACTGGGACGACTCGGACAACTCGAGCGAGGACTGATGTATTAGCGATGCTCAGGTTGGCTGTGAAGTTTGGGGTGTTATAATCAGACTTTTTAAGATTGATCAGTACGTGTAACCCATCAATGTGGGATTGGTGAAGTCAACGTTTGTCCAGTAACTCAAGATCCGAATCCAAGTCTTTCCTGTTTGTGGGTTCATTTTACTGACTCTTTTAGGTTGTTTTGTTTCTGTTTTATGTCCAGAACTATGGGAAACTGTTGGGGATGCTAACAATGTACGTGCACTTTACAAATACAGATGAATTGATTTGGTTTATAATGAAGGTGCCTTTATTTTACTGATGTGTAGTCCAATGCCTTTTTTATTAATAGATTTGAATGAAGTGCAATATAGGAAACGAATGCTCTAGTGCAAGGGTCGGCAACCTTATGCACACAAACTACCATTGGAGGCTATGTTTCCATCCCTCTGTTTTCATCCGCATTTTGGGATACCGCTTTATGCCTGGTTCGGATTACACGATTTTTTATCTGTTACGATAGTCACTGTGTCAAATTACGAGATTTTGACTCCTAAAATCTTGTTGTGTTGTGGACAAGACGCATGTCAGGACTACACGTTGCTTCCTGACCAGTCATCGCATGCCGTCTTTAATGGATGAAGCGGTGAGTGTTTTATTGGCTGTCCTGTGTTCAGAAAAAAGTAAAAAAGTAAGAAAACTCGACAATGGACACGTTCCTGGATTGCTTGGAGAGGACAGGATGGGCTGTCAATCCTCCTAAGAGAACTTGAGGTAAAATATTGTTTTCTTATATATTTTTACTTTTAGTTTTAACGTTAGCACCACGTTTTAACGTTAGAGTTTCAATGAGAGTGAAACTCATTGCAAAACTGTTATCCACTCACAGCAGTGGGCGTTTACTTCCTAGTCTTCAGTGCAAGACGTCCGTAAAAACCCAGCGTTTTTCAGCTAGGCTCAAAACTAGGGTAGTAAATAGACTATTACTTATTCATTTTTATGTTTTTGAATGTAAAAACCAAGCGAACGTCATAAGTTGACCTCTTAAAATAAAATTTAAAAAGCCAGTTCATGACCCCTTTAAAAACTGCTGGATGGAAATTCAAAGATGAGTCTGGAAAAAAAATGTTAACACATTTATGGAATTATGGAACTGCGTGATGGGATGGCATACAAACCAGCGGACCCGTCTCGTAGTAGCACAGCATCTGATATACGGTTTTGAAACGCCTGAGCAAAAGTATGTCGTCAAAGTGTCTCGGTGTAAATTGTAATTATCCTCCAGAACTGTCTGACACCGAACAGCAGCGTCTTCTTCTGAAAGCAAAACAGATAACACGGTTATTGCATTTTGGTCTGCAATATACAAAAAGGATGATATATGGCGGCTTCTCATACTTAGTGATATTAAGCGCTAGTTTATTAGGAAGTGACGATTTTGTTCTCCTGGACTCACTGGATGGAAACGGTGCTTGATTCGCAAATGTTTTACGCGATGTTTCAGGCTGGTTTGTTTGCTGGATTTTTGGTTCAGGTTTGAAATTCATGATCTTTAGACTAATATCATAGTAGGCCAACTCCCCTCTTTTTTTTAAAGTTGCCAGCCAACACCAGCTTTTTTGACCATTTTCACAAAATGTTCTTGGCCTCCAGAATATTTTGTCGTATGATTTATCTGAACATGCAGCCTCTGCTTTTACACAAAATTTTATTGTAGCTTCATGTATTCTTTTTTTATCAACACTTGTGGCTAAGTTTCATAAAAAAAGCAACATTTTGAGCGAAAAGCTGACAAAATTACGTTTTTTATTAAAGAAACCAGTTGGATTCAGAACGATGATCAAAACACAGATGGAGTAGATCGAGTTCATCAACTCCCCTAGATTCCTGCAGCTCGTCCTGGGTCGACATTTCATTCAGTAACGTTAAGTTTTTGAGTTTTGACCCTGAAATTCATACAATATGGCGTATTATAATGCAACTAATTAGGCCTATATTTATAGAATTGCAAAGTATGCCTAATCAATGACTGTACCACATAGGCTATAGAAAGGCTATCATGATCATTTTGCCATCAATGAACCATGGATTTGTTTAGTTTATAATACGTTTTTTTTTTTTAAAAGTGTAACATTCAAAACTCATTGGCTTAGAGACTGCATTTGAAGAAAAATAAAGTTAAAGTAATAATAAAGTTTTCTGTAACCTTGTGCGAACTTATTCAATAGAATTAGACTTCTAGAAAGTTCTTTCAAGTGCAAAAAATAATATTTTTTATTTAGTAGTTTTTCTTATGTCTTCGGAAACTCCTTTTCCTCGATTTACTGAAGATTATTTGTAAAATGCATTTGCATCTGCCGTGTATATATCTATGCTGCATATATCTATGCCGTCTGGCTCGCTCATAGGCTGTGCTGCGCCAACTGCACGTCCAATGGCGCGGGCGCCTCTGACGTGCGACCAATGAGACAACTCTACGTCATTACACGTCAGAGCCCGCCAAGGGGGCGCCAAGTCCACGAATTTTCCATTATTTCCGTTCATTCTGTCTGTCTGACATATTAGAAGCTATGTGTCTGTCATGGATTTGCTCTGAATCCGAAAATACGGAACGCAGTTCAATACGGAACAAGACTTTTATGTGTCAAATACGGAACGATACCAGAGCCCATCTAACGGAGAGCCTTGGCACTTCCTATTAGCCCCGTTGTGTATCATCTTGGTTGCAGTTCCATTAGAATTCCACTGGAGGTGATCGCGGGCGAGAGCAGAATGAATGGGAGTCTATGGGGCTAAACGGCTAAATGTGGCTCTTTCACCTGCTTGTCGTTAAATTAACATAGATTTTATTGTTGATTCCACAAGTTCAATATAGATTATAGGCCAAAAGTCGAATGAACGAGCACTTATGTCCTTTTGATTTCTTACAGGTTAGGCTGTTGTTGGCCGGAACACGCTAGCATTCTGCTATTGTGTGACGTCATCACATTTTTGAACGGATTTTTAGAACAGATAAGTGAACTTAAAAATGCAACTTTCAGCTGAGTGTATTATCTTAGCCCTCCCTTTTGAATGTAACTTTCAAATTACTTGACAAAAAATTACATCCTGAGAAAAGTGGATTTCTGGGGGTGAAACCCCATTGACTCCCATTCATTCTGCACTCGACCGCGAGCGCCCCCGCATGGACAGAGACGCGTTACTGCAGCCAGTCCAGAACCTGGAAGTAACCAGCCAGTGCCAATTCTCGTCAATTAGACATTCTCTGGTATTATACGGAATGGTTGGCAACCCTATGTTACGCATGTGATTACATATCCTATCTGCTTTTCTTCGCCTGTGTTTTGATCTGGATTCTGTATTCTTTCACAAGATGTGTAATAGCGCCCCCTACCGCATAATAGTGAAAATACAGAATGCCGGAAAGTTCCGTCATTGGCAGGGAAATAGTTAAAAGCCACAAAGGCAACATCACGAGCTGCAAGCTCAAGCCCAAATCATCATATTAGAGTGATTTCTGAAGGATCATGTGACGCAGAAGACTGGAGTAAAGATGCTGAAAATCACAGGAGAAAGTAGCCTAAATGTAGAAAACAGTTATTTTGAGCTAAAACGTTATTTCTCAATATTACCCTTGGTTAGCAGAAGAGACTTCTAAACTTGTGAATAGAGAGCCTAAGTCCCGCCCCTCCGCTTCCGGCTCGTTGAACCTTATTTCAGAAAAAAATTGTATGGTAGTCAATGGCGAGAGACAACTTATCTTTTTTATTCCGTCTGAACTGTGCCCTGAATTACACAAATGGCGTTTGTCAATTTAAAAGACAATTTTGTCATAAGACAGAAGAGTAACATTTAGTTTTATGTGAAAATCGCTCGATGAACTACATCTCCCGGGAAGCGTAACAGCAAGCGAGATCCGCTGCTCTAGTGGTAGATCTAGATCCGCTGCTCTACAAAACACTCAGGCATGACGGCGTAACGTTACGATTATAACGTAAGTCTATAGAAATAACGACAGACATTAGCCTCAGTAAAGTTAGCTTCATTCACTGAGAGAAAATGTGCGCCTTTGGGGTTTGTAGTCTTTGTAATTACGTATTTTCACAGTCTTATACCTCAACGGTTTTACATCAAATTGCGAATTTCTTGACTTCAAAAAGTATCTTTTAAATTGACAAACATACGTGTAATTCAGGGCACAATTCAAACGAGATCAAAATATTTGTTGTCTCTCGCCATTGACTACCATACAATATTTTTCCGAAATAAGGTCCCATGGTCGACCGGAATGGGAGGGGCTTAGGCTCTCTATGATTGTGTATATACAAATGGAGAAGGAAATCTGTCAGTGGTTTATGATATAAATTTTAAATCGCCAGAAAGGTTGCTGACTTCTTCCCTAATGAATGCTGAATTACTGTTGTGTTACTCCAAAGAGAAATCAATAGAAATTGTAAAAGTTAGCTTGGGGTTATGGGCTAGTTTAACGTAAACTGTTATTCAAGTGTTCCTCTGGTGTCATTTGCAATGTAAAAAGCGATTCTGGTCAGAATTCCTTTTAATATTATGCACTGATATAAAACGCACTGCTTTACTTTTGTTTTTTTGTTTAATTTATTTTCTATCTTCAATATATCAGACTTGTTTAAACCATCGCCTCTAAACTTCCAACTGTCGATTTTAAGTTAATCTGAAAACCAGTGATTTTCTTATTTTTAATAAATGATTTGTGGAATATATGCACCAAATATCCCTTATATATGACATAAAATGATCTAAATGAATACACATTCACTCTACCCTCATGGTACAATACTTTTATTTTCAAAATAGCTATTGAGATTCCTCCAATTGCTAAAACTAATTGTATTTCTTCTAATATTTTGGAAATGCATTTCACGGTTTAACTGCATTACAACCAGCTTGCAATGTTCATGAATTGACAATAAAGAGCAAAGGATTGTACTGTAGTTGTTTGGATGGCTTTAAAAGTTTCACCGAGGGTCAGATTAATGAATGTGCAATGTTTAAAGCCGCTGAGAAGGAGAGGGGGAAGTAAATGTGAGATTGATTGAGTGACAGATGCATACGATGGGCTTTTAACGGCCTCCACTGCATTAGCACATGCTTCTCTTTTTAAAGTTACCCAGAGGAGCTCTTTTAGAGCCTCACTTAAACGGGGTTTATGGGTTTTTACACCTTGAATTTTTATGCTCTCTGTCTGTCTTGCACACTCCTCTCATGCGCTCACTTCACTTAGACATAAAAACCCTTTCAGCATCCTGTTTGGGGGAGTCCTCCTCTCTCTGACAACAGTCTCAT